ATCGATTGAGTATCCGTCTTCTTGGTATCCTTATAAGCCGCCTTCTGCATCTCTCGCAGGATCTTCCCCTTCGAGGGCATTGAGTTGTATCGACATTGGACCCTCGCTGCTCCGAGAACGCTCTGGCGCAGAGCGGCCGGGCGTTGCGCAACTGCCGAGAAAGACATTGGCGAGAGTTTTGTTACGAATTTGCTGAACGGAAAGAATCAAGACGTGGGAATAGTTTCACAGGGACACCCGGTGGTTACCCGCGGCGCAGGGTCATTATCGAGCTCGAGCTGGCTTCGGCAAACTACGTCTTCTGCCGTTGAAGAATTTCTTGGATTCTGGGCCGATGACGGATCAAATATGCCCCGCTGACCGATGCTGGTGGGTGGTGGAAATGTGGGGGATCTCCAGGTTGAATTGGACTAGTTGGCACATGCTAGACACGTGTAAATTATCAACATCCCCAGTTGCAGAACCGCAACTTTACGACGACATCACCGCTCAACGGCCTGAAACTCGACCAAAGGGTCAATTTTAGTCCCTGTACCGTTGTTGTTGTTATATCTCATGTTATTAGACTCTCGGTGAGCCAATTGGGCTCCAGTAGACAGCTTGCGACAGCTTCAAACTCGATATCATACCTAAACACCAAAATTACCCATCATGAGGGCCACACAAACACTCCTCTCAAGAGGCTTCCTCGGCCGCAGTATGGATGAGCTCAGGCGGCGCACACAAATAGGTAGACTCCACCCAAGCTCCGTAACTTTCTGAGGCTAAATGTTGCAGCTGTGAGCTTCGAGGCCATCAAAGGCGCTACACAGCCCAAGCCTCTTTACGAGTTCAACACCCCTGATAGCGTTCGCGACTGCATCGTCATGACTGACAAGACTATCGGCGGCTTCTCAGAGAGCAATTTCGACTTCCACAAATCCACCGACTCCGACAACGACCCCAAGATACCCTCCGCTTATGCCCGTTTTCATGGCAACATCTCTACTCGCCTCCCCTCAGACCGCCCCAATATCCAACGAACTGGCTTTGCCGGCTTCCGGTCTCCGGATCAAAGGCCAACTGCCTTCGGCCGTTCTATGTGGGATATTGATCCGTACATCTACCTCGCCCTGCGTGTCAAGTCAGATGGCCGCAGTTACTTTGTCAACTTGCAAACGGAGAGTGTTGAACCATCAGATTTACATCAACATCGATTATTCCCTAAACGCCCGGGCCAATGGGAAACAGTGCTCATAAAATGGAACGACTTTGTCAGGACCAATCACGGCTTTGTGGTGGAACCTCAGACTGAGATGCTTCGACAGAAGGTCTTGACCGTGGGTATTGGACTGACAGATCGCGTTGATGGTCCATTTGAGCTATGTATCGAGAGAGCGTGGGCCACCAATGACCCCAGTGAGGTAGAAATGACAGAAGAACCCAGGGCTGAGGCTGTGGCAGAGGGAGGCCAGCTAAGGAACAAGAAGGGCGAAAAAGTACGGTGGTAGACAAACAAGCATTACTAGTGTCCTATGGGGCATACAGCATCATTGCGTGTATTTCGTAAAGCTTCATGTTCTTGGATAAGAATCCTCTCTAGGGCTGGTTGAAATATTACCCGTCTCTATATAAATAAATGGTATAATGAACTCCCATATCTCGTTTCTAGGCATGCCAATGATTCATATTTGCCATTACCAATGCTTACCCGTCAAGACTGAGCGATTCAGCAGTCCTCCGCAGTGACACGTACGTTGCAGCGTAATCTGCAGCCAGAACCATATCCCCAGTCAGCTTCATGATCATCGCCTTCTTTGCCATCATTTGGCATTGCATGTTGATGTCTTCGATACTTGAGTAATGATCAAAAGACTTTTGCACAGCTGCGAGAGCTTTCGTCATGTATTCCGATCGTCTGGCCGACTTGGGTTCGCATTTGCCAGCAAGTCCCATGTCGGCATCGGCGAGGTAGCTGTAGAGCTGGGCTGTCAGGCTCTCGGTCTCACACTCTAGGGAACGGGGTATGATAGCCAACAGAAGCTGAGAGGCTGCTTCAAATTCCTTCAAAGAGACCAGAATATTCGACACACAACCGATTGCTTGCCAGAGGCAGGGTATCAGACGAGCTCCCCACGATATGCTCGCTGCTCGCATTGCTGTCGTGAACCCTCTCTGCGGCCGGCCACACTTATCAAGAAGAGAGGCTTTTAGGAGCAAGAGTTTGACCTTGAGTACCACATCCTTCTTCTCATTTTCTAGCTGCGACATCATGCTGTCGACTTTTGCAAAGGCTGCTGGAAGATCTCCACGACGAGTGAGATAGTCAATATGAAGGGTGTCCACCAAGAACGCCATATCAGGTTCCAGATCATCCATCTTTGATTGGAGGATCTGAGATAGAAGCCGCTCAGCTCCTTCGAGATTGTTGTGATGTAAGTCTCTTTTCAGCTTGATGACACCTCGGTACTTGTGCCAATACTGACTGGGTTTCCAGGATCTCAGTGAATTCTCCTCCAGGTTTTCCAGTTTAGTCATTGCATCGTCATATTTTCCCCTTGAAGCAAGTAATAAAGCGAGTCGGCAAGTCAACTTCAGTTCATCATCGAAGATGGCATTGCGAGCGTGGCATTTCAGGAAGACTTCGCAGGTTGCTGACGATAGGGTCGAGAGGCCAAGCCTGTCCCATAGAGCTGAAGTGAGTGAGAGGTGTGACCCAAACATGTTGTTCATGTTCCTCTCCACGATGATGTGAGAGCTTCGCACAATCGACTCAAAAGCCGTAGCCACACTGTCACCATTCAATAGTCCGAGCTTTGCTTCGCTGAGGAGAACTGAGCTCCATAGTGTGAACATGCCTGTCTCTCTGGCCTTAACACGGAGAAAGGCCAAGCTTTCTTTGCCAGTACCGAGCAGGCTATTCGATTCCAAATTCTGGACGAGATCGGGATGGGCACGTCCGAAGTGGAAGAGCCAGTTCAAGGCAAAGTTGAGGCAAGTCATATCTCGGTTCTCTCGCGCTGTCGACACGGTTTCAAGCATGGCTGATACAGCTTCTTTGTAACAACCAAAGTCGGCCTGTAAAACAGCCAAGTTCATCAACGCGTATTGGTAGAACAGGCGATCTCTGTTCTGCATGGTGTAGTCAAAGTAACGGTGCAAATAGTCGAATGCGGTAGGATAATCTCCAGCTCTCCATGCATCGAGGAATCTTTCCCACGTTAGTCGAAAGGTTCATCGATGTTGGCGAGAGATAACGTACTTGAGATAGTGTGTGAGACTGGGAATGAGATAACTGTCGTTGAGTAGATCGTGAAACTGATGACGGATTTCAAGGGGTATCCTGTTTCCAAATTCTAACCGTGTCAGCACGCGAGATCATATGAGTTCGGGAATGACTGACTCTGCATCTGCTCGATTTGGAATTCTAGGAGACTCTCAATGTCATCTGTGCTCACAGGGAGCGATCCACTTTGGTCTCCTGTGAGCATATCACCGTACGCCACAGAGGCCAAGTCCATGACGCTCTTGAGGTCCCAATCTTCCTGCTCGCCCACCAAGAGAACATTGTCGAAACTCAGCCGTCCGAAGCCTGGGATCTTACGCTTGAGATAAGGGGCCGTTGGTTGTCGATATCTCACAAACTGTTTCCATAGTTCTGTACAGTCGTGGAAGCGTAATCGCTGGTATTCAAGTCGCGATTTGCGCACAAAAGCCCCAAAGGGAGAGTTCGCCGAGAGCCTGATGCCTTGTTCCTCTTCCACTGGTTCGCCCAACTCTGCCAGTCTCTTACGTTCCTCCTTGGTTTTGGCCAGCAAGCCAGATAGGTTGTCGAAAAAGTTATGCAGCGCATCCAGTGAGTTGATATGCCATAGCTTGCCCAAGAACTGATCCCATAGCCTCCGTCCAGGCATGCCCATGAGAAAGGGATAGCTCCCAAGAAGCTTCTCAAACTCTTTGATGCTTATGACGAGACTGACAGTTTTCTCTGCCTTGCTCCATCTTTCGGACTGATCGGCGGATGATTTTGGATGGCAATGATCCATGAGATGAGAGGTGACAAAGGAGAGCACAGGAAGGATCGCATCACTTGGTACAGCTCCTTCAACGTAGAGCTCTATGAGAGCGAGAAGGCCAACCTTGGCCGGGTTGAGGTAGCGAGCCATTTTGGAGTCGAAACCAATCACACTTTTATTGTGAGTGATGGTAAATGATGATGATGGGAACGGCCATAGAGTGAGAAGGGTTCAAGAGAGCGCCCTTCAAGTCGGCACCGAGACGCGCCTGTCGAATTGTTAACAGATGAGATCACTCCTACCCAGATATAATCTAGCTTTAGGTAGTACCTTAGTGGTATTCTGACCTTCCCATCTGAGTCAGAATTCTCATTCGGTGAGACTATCAACAGTTGCCTCTTGGTTCGGCGCGTCTTGTTGTAGAGTGTTTCGTTGCTGGTGTTTGTTGTTTGGCCGGGGCATCTTCGGAGTATCACTGTCAAGGCGACTTAAAGTGGGATGAAACAATCTCAATTGGTGGGCATGTATCACGACCTTCGAAGCAGAAGGATAGAAGTACACTGAATAAAAAGGATGCTAGGTAGTCAGACTAATCCAATCCTGATATCTTATTTAGTCGATACAGTGTTCCACCGAGTTTGAGTCCCCGACTTTAGTAAATCTGTCCAAGGCCTGAATCCAAAGAATGGGCTTAGATGAAGTCAAGACAAGATTTAGAGCATGCTTGGGAAGGAATTAGAGTAAATTCGGTTTGAGCTTGGAGATGCATGATCTAATATGAGTGGCTCTTACGACAAGACTCGCTGGTGTTTTTGGATGAGAACACTAGAAACTTGATGGGACATCCGGTTTCATGTCACTTAGGTTGCGTAGGAATGATGGTTCGGATTTCAACAATCAGTCAATTCGAGTCTAGGGAACATGTACAAGGTATCTCCAGAGGGAGTAGTCCATGACGGAGTAGTCCAGCAATTGTCCAACGCATGAGCTGTCAACAGATCATACTTAGGAAGCCTTGTCCTTGTTGTGGAAGTTGACCTCGTCGTTCCAGCTGTGCATAGTTAGCATGATGTTCACAAAGGTCATAGAGCATGGTAGCTCGGAGCTCAATAGCGTGAGAGCTGGCATCCAAGCTTCTTGAAGCTCTTTCGAAGCTCTTATCCGGAATGATGTCACTACTTACAAGAGAGTCTGTGAAATGTCAGTAAAGTGCCATTGAACCAGAATATTCATCCCAAACTCACCTTGTCACCGTTACCCCACTGGTAGTTCTTGGTGCGGATGTTCTGGTAAGGGTACTCGGTGCGCTCCTCCAGAGGAGGCATGTGGCTCCAGTGGTCCCAATGCTCGTTCCAGAGCCAGTAGGCGTTGGCACCGGCGGCGATGAGGCAGGGAGCGACACCACTTCGATCTTGTTAGCTATTGCTATCCCCAACGCATCATCACGGCCTCATCAACTCCAACTTCCGACGATCCGGGTTCGAAGACAGATTCGTAATTCGCTCAAGGGTTCGGATTCGGACGTACTAAAGGGAGATCTTCTTCCACAGCTCTGTCCATCGTCAGCAACCACGTCCAAAGCTTCCAATTGACCCAATTCTGCGTCGTCGGGTGTCGACTCACCAGTGGTACCGGCAGCGTGCTCCTTGATGTGCTGACGCTCCTTGATGAACTCGTTCTCGGCGGTGCTGGCAAATCGACGCTGGAGGGGAGCGCGGAGCTGCGCAGTGGCGCGCGTGGCAGCGCGGGTGAATCGTACAGCGGACATTGTGGACGACGACGTTGTTGTTCGCTTTGACAGTTGGTGAGTCTAAGGCAAGTTTGTGATCACTGATCAGGTCATTCTTCGGTTAGAACCGCCAATGAAAGTTGCCTCAATTGTAAGGTACCAATTTCCCCCGGCCGATGACAGCGCGCACGTGATCTCGTGCTGGGGGCGCGACGTCGACGGCTCAACACCACGCGGTGGGGCCCTGCGTCATTGTAGGGATCGCGGCCTTCTTACTCTGAGTGTCTTGTTGTTGAACGGCAATTGCTTGAACACAACGATTAAAGCCCTTCTCGTTCTACATCTCGGGCTTATATACGACCTCCACTTCCCGGCCTATCCCTCTATAGTTGCCAATTCGTCCTATCTCAAACTCATCGCGAAGTTCCTTCATCCTTCAGCTCATGGTCTCCACATCGTCAGTACCACGGGATGAGACGTGAGGTGCTCATGGGAGTTGTTTTTTTATTCTATGAGAGTTTTCGACACCAAATTCCACAACTCATAATTCGCAACCATGGCGTTTCGGATAACCACCTGGAACGGTGAGTTTCGCCGCCTTTTTCTTAGCTTTCCCACTAACACCTTCTGCAGTCAATGGCATCCGGTTCGTGATTCACAGCGAAAACCCCTAAACTCATCCTAATGATCCATCGTCACAGAAATCCTTTCGGTTATCAACCTTGGAGAGAAAAGAGAACCTTTCAAGTACGCCCTCTCATCTCACAACCTACACCTAACATCCTCAACTCACAACCACGTAGGCTATGTTTGAGATTCTTGAGGCGGACATAGTTGTTATGCAAGAGACCAAGATCCAGCGAAAGGACCTTCAGGATGACATGGTTCTTGTTCCCGGTTGGGATGTCTTCTTCAGCTTGCCAAAGCACAAGAAAGGTACGGCACTCACCCTCATTTGTTTGCCACAACGCCTGACAATCTTCAGGATATTCTGGCGTCGCTATCTACACACGCAACTCAAAATGCGCGCCTATACGAGCAGAAGAAGGCGTCACTGGCGTCTTGACAGCTCCCAAGTCTACAACCAGATATCGCGACCTCCCTGAAGACCAGCAGATTGGCGGGTACCCCCGGCCCGATCAACTTGATGGCATCATCGACGAGGCGACTCTTGACTCTGAGGGCCGTTGTGTCATTCTCGAATTTCCAGGTTTTGTGCTCTTTGGAGTTTACAGCCCTGCAACCCGAGATGAGACTCGTGATGACTTTCGCACTGGTTTCTTCCAAGCACTGGAAGTGAGGATACGGAACTTGGTCGCCGCAGGCAAGCAGGTCATCCTTACCGGTGATTTGAACGTCGTCCGCTCCGAGCTTGACTCAACCAATGTTTCAGAGACACTCCGCAAGGAAGGGATTGAACTCAGCGACTGGATGAACGCACCTGTGCGGCGCATCTTCAACCAACTCATTTTTGAGGGAAGTGTGCTAGGCGAAAGAGATGAGGGCCGTGAAAAGCCTGTTCTCTGGGACCTCTGTCGTTGCTTTCACCCGGAGCGAGTGGGGATGAACACATGTTGGGATACCAAGCGGAACACGCGACCTGCAAACAACGGCAGCCGGATTGACTACGTCTTGTGCAGCGATGGCATCAAGAGTTGGTTCAACTACTCCAATATCCAGGAGGGCTTGATGGGATCTGACCATTGCCCAGTCTTTGCGACTTTGTCTGACAAAGTGACGGTAGGCGACAAAGAGTGTGCGTTGCTAGAGATGATGAACCCCCCGGGTATGTTCAACGGGGACGAGCGTCTTCGAGACTGGACCCCAAAGGATCATCTTCCTTTGTCTGCAAAGCTGATACCAGAATTTGACCGCCGGCAGAGCATCCGCGATATGTTCACAAAGAAAGCCGCCCCTCCACGAGAGTCGACGAGGACAGACACACCTGCAGAACCCTTGAAGAACGGAAATAGTAGCGCCTCAGGTTCGCTTGACAAAGCAGGGGAAGCTTCAGAGTCACCGGCCAACGCCTCCTCCACACCGAGGCTGGGCGAGACTACCAACTCAACCAAGCTTTCAGCATCCCAGCCTAGCTCCAAAAGACCTGGAACGGCCTCCGACACGACGAGTCGACCATTCAAGAAGACCAAGTCTTTTACAGGCGCCAACGACAGCAAGAGCAAAGTGGCGCAGGGCCAACGAACATTACAGGGATTCTTCAAGCCAAAAGCTCCCGCGGCTCAAGATGGCAAGGCAGAGCTAGTAGCGGCAAGTTGGACGCCATCTACAACAAAGAAACCTGCAGGATCAGGGAAAGCGCCAGTAAGCGCGCAGAGACTATCGAATACCCCGCAGGCTACACTTACAGATAAGTCATCAGCAACAGTCCCTCTACGCGGTAAGGATCCCGAACCCTCGGACAGGGTGTTTGACCCGATCGAGGCGAAGGAGTCGTGGTCCAAGCTGCTGGGCAAGAGGGTTGCACCAAGATGTGAACACGACGAACCCTGTATCAGCTTCACCACCAAGAAGCCCGGAGTCAACTGTGGTACGTTATACGGCGGCAGCTGATCCAAAGTGTATGCGGTGGCGTTGCCGTTACACAACGCCGCGGCTGCAACGTCGCCTACCGATGCAAAGTCAACCCCAGGAGCTAATTTTGATGACATTACAGGTCGAATGTTTTACATCTGTCCGCGGCCGCTAGGACCATCAGGGGAGAAGGAGAGAAACTCGGAGTGGCGCTGCAGTACATTCATATGGAGCAGTGATTGGACTGGCTCATGATGGAGATTCGGGGAGCTGGGAAGTGCAGGAGTCTGATTAGGAATTTTTTAAATACACTACGTTGAGAGCTGTTCAGTGAGAACTTATTTGTGTTACGATCAAGAGTACCAAGTTGCCATGTCACAGAGAGCATCAGAATGGAGTCTTTGGTCTCTCTTGTATTATTTGTCCACCACAGAACAACGCGATACGTTGTCAATATGCTAGCTACCTATCCATCATGCTGCCTGTCTTCAGAGAAGAGATGCGTCCTGTTAACTTGTGCGACAATAAACAAAGCGATTGGGTTGTAGACCAATTTTGTCCATGGAGCCCGTCCTTGTATAGGTAAGTTTCAGCTTCATGAGAGCCTGTAGAAACTGACTGATGCATCAAGGTGGGAGAATGAAGCAATACCGATGTAAAAAGGTGAACATTGGTTTTTGTTGCCAACCATATGCGTCCACTAAAGGGTGTCACCTTTTCACGTCCAGGGAGAGGTTTGGCTACTTTGAGCGTTTCAAGGCAGCTCTTGGTCGGGCTCTTTCGCCGGGATGTATTTGTACCCGGGGTATTGTTGTTTGTGGTTGACCTCTTCTTTCTCCGCCATGTTATACCAATAAGCTTGAATCTCAGGCGTCTCTTCATCCCACATCTTGCCAATCACTCTCGCTACGGTTTAAGTTAATATTGTCCAGCTCTCCAGAACGATGTACTTACAAAGTTCAGAGGCTGTGATTCCTTCAACACTTCTTATGATCTCCTGGGACTTGGACTGACGATATAGAAGCCAGCAGTTCCTAGGTCGAGGAATTCGACATCCTCCCTCGCCAACAGTTGGATCATCTTCGGAAACCTTCACTGGCGTGGATTGGTCTATAAAAATGTCAGAGCGGTACCATTCAAAATGATTTCTATGTACCATACCACGAGTGAAGCAGTGCCTCCCATAAGTCGAGGTATCGGGGCTCACATCTTCAGGAATTGGACAAAGGCGGTACTTGCTTCGTGCTTTGTCATGAAAAACTCTCACGGGTTGTTGGACGCGACGACTATAATAGTTAGCTGGTAGGGTCACCCAAAGATTTGATGTTCTACCTGAATTTGTCTGCGACATGGTTGATAAGCGTCAGAGAAGCGTTCTCTGGTAGAAAGATGTGAATATCGGCTTGCGACTGGCTGTAGACCATAGTGATAGGAACTTCGGCCTCTGGGGGCATGAGAACGCCCAGAGGACCTTCACGTAGGCGTCCCTTCGAAGTTCCGGGCATTCTCACGGCAAGCGATCAGTAGGCAAGATGGGCAGTACTTTCTTGTAGGCGACTGAAATTTGAGTGTTCTCTGTGGTAAAGAAATGGAAAGGAGGAAGTTGATGCACCAGCAATGATGGGGGAAACGGATACAGGCGACAGACTGAGGCAAGTCAAGAGAAATATGAACAATAGGACAGCCTCTTCAGATTATCAATGACAAACAGCTGAAGTGTGCTCTGAGTTCTATTGTTCACTCGTTTGCTTATTACGTCATACAATGAAGCAAATCTGTGAAACCTGAAGCTGTCACTGCCAGACGGCTGACAGTGATAATATCTTTTGCATACTTCAGTTTTTGCTCATTTACTTTTCTTCTTTCCCACACAACACCCGTTTCTCATTATCGTTTTCTTAGATATGGACAGCGCGTTCAGTTTCCTCCCTTTATGGGACGATCCAACGATTATCTATAAGCCCGAGAAAGCTCTCGATGCCCTGCATGGCAAGATCCTCAGCATCGTCTTGAAGAAGGTCGAATTGCCCAAAGAAGGGGAGAAATTTTACCCAAAAGGTAAACATATCATCATTTTCAGTCATGAAAGGGAGCTAATATTCTTAATAGATGTTCTTCGCTCTGTGTTCTTTGTCATCAACCAAGTAATGACCGATCTATCCATCGATAATGAGCTCCTCAACGGCATCCGAGCTACTCATATCAGACTAGCTGGGTATGGCTCGCCACTCAAGATCATTGATGCCGTCCTTGTGAGATGGTATACCGAAGCTGCCATTATCCTCTACTCCCATCAATCTGTTCGCTCTCCAAATACCGCTGGCATGCGTCGTGGATGGATCCCGGGGTACCGGCGCAATCGACGCTCAATCGCCAACTTGGGCTTCATGACCATTCTTAGGGGTATCGAAGTGTGGGCTCATCCTAAGCACCCCAAGCTCCAGGCCGCCTGCTTGATTTCTAAGGCCACCCTCGCGATCCTGTATGCCACTTTCACTATCGGGCCTCATCTTGAGGGCTTCGCGTTCAAGTATCTTAGCGAGATGCCTGTCTCTAAGTCGCGAGAGCTCTTCCTGAAGGTCTTTGTCTCGATTTCCGGCAACGTGTACAATGACGATGAGGTCTTCGCGACGCCTCCGGCTTTCGAATTCGGTGCGGCCCGAGGCAACGTACGGATCTGTCAGCAAGGGAAGAAGCTCCTCGTCAGATCTCTAACTGAGCAGTTCTACCGCGAAGCCCCTGACTGGCATCCGTATCGACGAGTCCCCGGGTCTCCATGGAACAATTTTATCAGAAACACGGAATTGCCTGTCTTCTCAACCAACGAAAATCCTGTGCCTCACACGAATATCAAGTTCATTCTGCCTTACAATGCGATCGTTCTCGCCGGGCAGTTCAAGGCAAAGTACAATGTTGCCCGCAAAGAAGCCCGCAAAGAAGCCCAGCAGTCCAACAACCCACTTCCTGAGATCTCTGAGGAGGCAAGACTGCTTCAGCTCAAGTGGTTTGCTCAACATTCCGGGCGAGGATACGCCAACAACGCCCCTGATATGCACACAGCTGAGTCTTTTATCAACGTTGGGAACGACTTCCTCTACCATACTCCTGCAATTCAAAAGCCCCGCGCAGACGCAAGTGGATTCCTGACTCTCCCCTTCATGTCGACTGCGGTTTATGCAATTGGGCATCTCTTGGATCCCGTAGACACTCCCGTGCAAAGCCTTCTGGTATTGACCTTCAATCAAGAACTACCGGATGAAATGGCCAATTAAGCAATAACAAAGATTCATGTAGATTGCAAAAGGGGATATACGTATTATTATTAAGTTTCTAGCTACCTTCCTTAGATAGTCAAATCAATGTGGTCAAACCCAGTCACAAATATTTCGAATAGTTTCATCGCTTTCGCCCTGGCACTGTCACGCATCTGCAAAACTACTCATAATACGCTAAGAAAACGGCGGCTGTTAAGCCCTGCCTGCCACCTCATTCTATTGTTCAGGTACTTGCTACTAGGTACCTAGGTTCCTGCCAAGGAATTTATCCATACACCCCGTCTTCTCACCCCCCAGACCTCTCACTTATTAACACCACTTCCTCTCCACGCTCAGAAATTCTTCTCTCCAACCTTTGACAACTCATGCTTTAAGACTGGCACTCTTTTATCCAGTGTTTCTCATCATCTATTCAAAACAAGCTCCTACTATCCCTCACTCGTTTCTATCAATATGGAGCTACTGATCAACGCTGCCAAGGATGAGCAAAAGGTTGCGGCCTTGAACGACGAGTCCAAGATCGCAGCGATGCGTGCTGTTTCTCAGACCTCTCCAGACCGTCTGGCCCAGGCTCTCTTATCTCCTTACATGTTGAGGGAAATGCTTGACCTGTTCGGTCATGAGTTTCTTCCTGTCTTCGAAGACCAACTCAAACCTCATGGCACTATGGGCACTGCGGATTCGAGGGCTAAGCGCCCTCTTAACGCTTTCATAGCCTTTCGCAGTAAGTGTAAATACTTTTTACCTATGACACCTATTGACCAGACCTAGCCTACTATCTGAAGCTATTCCCCGACACCCAGCAGAAGAATGCCTCCGGTTTCCTGACCCAGCTCTGGGGCGGCGACCCTCACCGAAACAAATGGGCCCTGATTGCTAAAGTCTATTCCTTCCTCCGTGATCAACTGGGCAAGGGTACTGTTAACTTGTCCGCGTTCCTTGGTATCGCTTGCCCTTTGATGAACATGGTTGAGCCCTCCTTGTACATTGAGGTCCTTGGCTGGCAGAAAACTGCTTCTCAAGGTATCATGACATTTCAGCAAAACACTGATATCATGAAGGCGAACCTGGCATGCCGTGTCAATAGCCAACCCACCACCGAGATTGACCTTCTCACCAGTGTCCTGTCTGCCGGTTACTTTACGGATTTCTCTCAGGTTCTCCTGATGCGCATGTGGGCTTGCCAGAACGGCATCATGACCACTAGCAGTGCTACTACTGGCAACATTGTCGCCACTACTCAACCGCTCTACGACTCTGTTCCAACAACCGCCGAGAAAACCAGTTTCATCAACGCAGTTCGCGAGAGTCGCAACCTTGCCGCTCAAGATCTTTTTGGTGCCGAATACGACGCCGCCCTGTTCGGAAATCGTTTCGTTCATTCCTGGGAAGTGCAGGATCTCACTTCCCTCCAGAATGTTCAGATCTCTATGGCAGACTCGCCTATGGAGAACAACACTCTCTACAACTTCTACATAGATCAGCACTACCGACCTCAGGTTACTGAGTTCGACCTCTACGATGTCATCGACACAAGCATCATTGACATCTCCAGCGCCTGGTCTATTGACCAGTACCTACATGAGAAGCAATCCAAGATGCAGCAGCAGTGTCAGTACTTCCCGTTGAGAAACTCCGATTATTATTGACACATAAACAGAAGTTCTCAGGGATAGCCACGATGGCTCTGAATCTTGGGTTGCCATCACGAATCCAGCTTTCAATGCAACTTGGCAGTTTCGGGATGGAAATGGGATGATTTGAAACGATACCTGAACGGCGGGAATGTCTTCGTATGACTGTAAGGTTACGGTTGGGGGGGATCATTTACCAGGTTCAATACACACAGTTACTACCTACCTCTCTTGGTTTTCCCTACGTGATACAGAGTACTGAGGTCGGAATTATGTTTAGCACGGCCCACAACTAGATCTGAAGCGACGCTATTGACAGCTGGAATGATTGGCTGACAGACTCTTGGCGATGCTTACAGTTGAAGGATACAGGGCTTAAATTACAGTGCGAGATCACACAGTCTGTAGACCCTGGTCTCTCGACGCTCTGGGTAAGACAACCCTGGATCATGGCTAAAAAACTAGACTAGGGCGGCACATCCGATTGCCTTTTGATTCCAGTTCTTGCTTCGCCCTGACAAGCAGACGGTTCAGTCTCGAGCTTCGATGCCAATCTCCAGAGCTTTCGAGTGAATAGTCGCCCTTGGCAGATCATTTGAGGTCAACAACATACATGTCTGAGGTAGGTACCGCACAACACAACGCAGTCTGTCTGTCGTTTGGATTCTGAGATCATCCTCCAAACGAAACATTGGTTACGCTAGCCCTATCGGGTTGGAGCCATCTTGGCGTTAGACGCTGCAGGGTCAGGGACCCATCAAGAGCTCCCATGACAAAATTACCCCAACACAGGATGGTCACTGTTGAACATCAAGCCCAAATCAAAGGCATCTCTCCAATTGCCGTCACAGGGATCAAGACTTCTTGATTTTGAAGTAATTATGCTTGAGGCCAGGGCTCCTGTGCATGAATCATCACTCAATTAACGACTTGAAAAGAATTCCTGGACCAAATCAGATGGATCTGCCATTCTCCCTTCCTTGTAAGTCGTCCATCAGCCCTACAGCTCAAAGCGGGTATAGCATGGGGTTATCACCATCAGCGATCGTGGGGACCAAGAACCGGGCTAAGATCGCCAGCTATGAGGACTAAGACTGTCTGTCCACTCTAACGTACAGTAGGTTTTGTTTTAGGTCAGTGGCGGCAATAAAGCACCGGGACATTCTAAACCGATTTCCAACACCATCATCAGGTAGCTCTGTTTCGAGGAATGCTTCACTGAGTATGTACTGTAAGGGGCAATTGCTATGATTTGGTGGCGTAACCAGTGCGGAATTGCTTTTGGAAGCAAGGTGCCCTTGTAATCGACCTTGCTCCTTCGGAAGCAGTTGACCATCTGATGATATCTGCTGGCTACAGACCAATTGACAAGGGTAGCGTTATCGCCAGTGTTCTAGGGGAGGAAACAAAACTTAGAGGACCTTGATCCTAAATGACAGAAAGATTTAGGGCAACGTAACATAAGTTTAGGATATATTTTGCTGAGCACGTTTTGGCGTCCCATCTGAGGGTCTGGTATTCTCTTGCTCCTCGAGGATGTTCAACTATCAAGGACCCAGCCCCTCAGTACAGTATCCCATTGACAGCTTCCGATAGTTGCACATACACTCGACGGGCTCAGACATGACCAGGATATAAACTGTTTGCGTAACATCGTTGACGCAGTTTGCACTAGGCATGTGCATACCTACAGTAAGTGAGTGTATCGACTCTCGCTCAGCCCGTCTGTCTGTCTGAGACTAAACAATCGCTTCACCGTCCGACTCCCCGCACTCAGTTCCATGGAGCAGCACAAGAAACACAAATCTCAACACATGTCTTACAGATCCAGCAATTCGGAAAGTGAACATATTTCGCTAAGCTACGCCTGTTTCTAACTAGTGACACAAGAAACACTATCCGCATCGCCGGCCCAACAGACGACACGAGACAAGATAAGACGAGACAAGACACTAAGGTAGACTAAAGCATGGTTCCATCATCGACAGGGACCACGACCACGTATTTCGTTCTTCAGGAAATCCTCCGGCACAGTACGGACCGGTGACGGTTACGGGTAGTCCGTCTATATCTCGCGTCTTTGCTCGCGTCGCGAAGTGAAATGTATGAAATGGGAGTCTAATCGTCCATGCTCAAATGCCCAGACTTTCTCCTCCTCCGCGTGCCATACGAAAATCGACCAAGGCTACGCAAGTGCAAGCCATCCCCATCAACTCTAATACCTTACTATCCAAAGGGGGGCTCTGGGCTTGGTGTGTATGTGCCTCCTTTGGTTGTGCAGTCTCACTCCTGAGCCATCATTGGTCGGGTGTCGATAATTGAGGCTGAAGCCGCGAATGCCTTCAGCAGGCCCTAATCTGCGCCCTTACTCTTCTTGGTACGAGATCTTCCGCATCTCGCCCAATCGATGTCGAGCCGACGCCAAGGCATTCTCCAATTGGAGGATCTCGACCTGTTGATTGTTGGTGGCTTGTCAGTCCATCATCTTACACGAGGGGGCTAAAATAAACTTTGCCGGATATAGTAACCGTTACGAACGCACTGGCCCGGGAATGAACTGGACCTGTGAGGGGTATCGATGTGTCATGGTAGTTGTGATGTGATGTGTGATGTCTGATGCGCCCACGACAGGGGAAACATGGGAGGGAGACGCCCAAGGGAAAGGGTTGCCAAACACATGACGGGGGGGGCTGCTAGACTTACTTGCTGTTCCATCTCTCGCACCTTGAACTCGTGCGCTCCAAGCTTCGAGTAGTCCACCTGGTCCTCCTCTTGGCTACGCTCCTTGATCAAGCTCTGCACCTGGCGCACCAGTGCTCGACATGCCGCACCCACCGCCTTGCTGGCCTGCTCGAGCTTTTCTTGGCTCTTGGACATGAACCCTGCCTTGACTCTGCTGGCAGCCACAAGCTGGGCAGTCGACGCCGCCACATCGTTCGAGGCCACGATGAGCTGTTCTGGACTGTTGCGCCCAGAGATGACTCCATCTGCTGTCTCGATCAGTGTGTTAGTCGACGACGCCACAGCCTTGGCGGCAGAGATCAGTCCCTCAGTCCATCGGTTGTTCTTCTTGTAGAACGCTGTTCGTGACGTCGATCCACGGCCGGCCTGTACGATCTCCTGCTGTGTCACTGTCGCCGCCTGAATCAGTTGCGTAATGGCGTTGGTGATCGCCGTTGCCGCATCCAGGATCGAGTCGTTCACCTTGAGCTCATAGGTTGAGTAGCCATCACGAGGCTTGTTCTTGAGCTTGGCCAGTCGTGCTGCTGCTGCCGCAATTGCATCTGCAGCTTTGCTCAGCTCCTGGTCGACGAGGTCACCTAAGTCTCCCTTTTTGTTGGCAAGCTTGCCAAAGCCAGGAGCGAACGACTCAACAAGCTTGTTGAGCTTTTGCAAGTTCATCTGGACGTCGTTGTTGCTGTTGATGACCACGTCTGTCTTCTGTAAGGGATCCATGCCCTCAAGTCGGAAGCTCTGAAGACCTCGGAGGAACTGTACAGCTGAGATAGCGGGCTGGCGGGTTCCGTTCATGAGAGAATCGGTCTTCTTATCATCTGTAGCTAGACGGGTAAGACCCTTGGTGTTGCTGCAGACATCGGCAATGGCACCAGAGAAGACGTTGATAGCCTTGATAAGGTCGGCATGTGTTGCATTTGGACCATCTGCGATGAAGTTGTTGAACGATGTAGCAAATTCCATAGCACTAGCTGAGGCCTTCTCGATCTGTGACAGTACATAAGAAGGAGACGCATTCTGGTTACCAGCCTGCATACTGGAATCCAACTCGTAGAGAGCATCATCCACACGCGCAACACCAGCCTGGAGAACAGAGTCGATAATATCGTTGATCTTGTCAAGGTTGGACATGATGAGGGCATCGATCTGGCCATCCAAAGCATGGTCAGTATCACCCTGGTTCATCTTGAGTTCGTTGAGCTCGATGAGTGTCTGATCCATGCCCGCCTTGTACACCTCAAGCTCCTCCTCCTTGTCACGGAGGAGCTGCTCGAGGTCAGAGCTGCCGTCACGGAGGTTCATCTGGGCATCCTCCAGTTGTCGTGTCTTGTTGCGCAGTGCCTCCTCGAGATCCGCCATCTCACGGTTGTACTTGGCAAGCATTGTCGAAAGCTCGTTGCCCTTGCTACGCTCGAGGTTATCGGCCTTGTCTTGGGCCAGGCGAAGTTCGCGCCTGAGTTTCTCAACCTCATCCTTGCTGCTGCCAGTCGCGCGGTCCTTGTCATGAAGGGCGCGGTCACGCTCACGGATCATGTCGGCCAACTCGAGGTTCTTGGTCTTGATCTCACGCTCGAGCTTCTCACGTCGATCGATAGCCTCCTGGGCGCTCGCCGCCTTGAGTTGAACGGCCTTGAACTTCTGAAGCAGATCGAGATGCTCGTGTCGCAACTGAGAGTAGAGCTTGGCCAGTGCCTCATATTTCGTCCTCCATGTGTTGACCTGCTCCTGAAGTGCCCGAATCTGGTCATCCTTGCTGTTCATTTGCTGGCCGAGGCTGTTTTGAATGTGCGACAGCTCACCCTCGAGAGCCTTGACTCGCTGGTCGTACTGTTGGAGCATCAGTTGATCTCGCTCATATTGAGCGCGCGCATTCAGGTTTTCACGCTCCAGCTCGGCCAGTCGTCCCTGAGTTTGCCATTGCGCTTGTTGCGCCATGAGAGCCTCCTGCTCTCGCTGTTGCTGCTCCATCAGCTGTTGTTGCTGCTGCTCAAACTCACGCTGAGCCTGAAGCTGTGCCTGCTGCTGGGCCATGAGAGCTTGTTGTTGCTGCTGCTCGAGGATACGCTGCTGCTCTTCGTACTCTCGGTTCTGACGGTCCAACTCGCTCTTCCAGAATTCATTCATCTCATCAGGAGCGTCGTTCTTGGGCTCGGGTGGGGGAGACGGCTTTCGCTCAATCTCCTGCTTTGGTCGCGCGGGTAGCGCAGGTGCATCGTCATCTTCCGCCAAGAGGTTGGGAGGATCTTGTGGAAGCTTGGGAATGGTAATGAGACTGGTAAGGTACCGCAGGTTTGAGCATTCGTAGTAGAACTTAACTAAGCGATAATGCTGCGCGTTGTAACGTTCACGAAGGGGTTCAAGGGCCTCATCATCTCCGGTTGCTTTGTTGATGTTAACCCTAAGGATCCTAAAGAGGGGGGGTGGGGGAGTGAATCACTGACTTGAGTGCATTGCGCGCAGCATGCTGGTGATGAACTTGTAAATTCCGTAGCTCTCCTGAACGAGGGGCACGAGGGCGGCGATTCGGCACTCGTTGTTTCCAACATTTCGGAAGTGGGAGAAGATCAGCTTTTGGAACTGCTCGATCTTATCTTGCAGCACCATCAGATCGCTGATAGTCTCGTAGCCTTCGTTGGGGTCGTTGATGGCCTTCAAGCTCAGGTATTCCTCGTACTCGAATGTTCCGTTGAACTCGGGGTGCTGATGGTGGAAGGAGAGCTTTGCAAGTAGGTAATAAACGTATTCGCGGATCAGAGGCGCATAACCGCGCATGCCTTCTCCTCCTCCGCCCATTCCGCGGTTCAGGCTATCGATCCATGCGCGGTTTGCCATTGCCTCCTTAAGAGCACTGGGGTGGCCTTCTTGGAGTACCTTGTGGATCGTGATCAGGGCCTTGAACGTCTGGACTTCGTCGGCTAGGATAGGTTGGCTGTTGATGGTCGATCAGCGTGAGTTGTCATGATGAGGACGTATGAGACGTACACCTTGATGCCGGACCAGAAGGCGGCGGAGGACCGGTGGTCCCATGTATAGACGATACATGCTCGGACATGCTTTCGCTTTGGAGAGATCTCCTCGACGTTTGTAGCCTTCTTGATGTTAATAGCGAGCTCTTGGTCGGTTCTGCGCACGACGATGGGGTTAGCTTGGCGGTCATGAAGCGTGACGGTGTCGCTGACTTGGTATGCTCGGTGCCGCGCACAGCAGCAGCCATGTTTGCAATTGGTGGCGGGCAAGCTCCGTGAGGCTGTTATTAGATAATGGGTAAAGATGTTTGCGCAAGGAGAGTCGCTCAGGTCTTTGGCGATGCTATAGTAGCCCCTGGAAATCACGAGACAATTTCCCCGTCAAGCCGACGCCGCGCAAGCTTAGGAGATTAGGCAGAGAGTAAACCGTAGGAAATGAAAAGATGATCAAGGGACTGAGGTTTGTGAGGATGCGACGGTAGATCGAGCGTTCGCGGTCGTCGTCAGCCTTGACAAATCTTGGGCGACTCTTGGGCGTGGCTCGTCTCTGCGATTCGATGAATGTCGTAGTAGCTTCAGTGGCTGGGCCGCAAGAGCCAAGAGAGGAGCGTCATACGGGGTACGTATCGTCCGTTGTGTGGGGCGCGGCTGTTGAAGATTCAGTGAGCTTCCTTGAATTGCTGGCCAGATTAGGTATCCCACTTAGATGAGCACAGTTTGAAGGCTTCAAGACACGAGTTTATAGTATTAATTGATAATGAAAACTTGCTGCCTATGCTCGTTTTGCATTGTGTTGTTGTTCCATGTAGATGTGTATCTCAAAAGCTTGGCTGTAGCCATATTGTCTGTGAATGCCTGAGAAGCCTCCAGATTTTAGAGTTGACTTTTGATGAGCATATCATATAAAATTTACTAAATTCTACCACAAATACTCATCAACTCTGAATATTTGATATAATTTTATATAACTTCAAAGAATGTTATTCAGCTCTGATCGTTCACGCAGTTATGCTTCAGCGACACTCCTGAACTCTTAATTAGTTCAAGATGCATCTACCTTACTTGTGAGGACATACCAGCTTGGAGTTTATTTAATGAGACACTTGTTGCTTACAAGGCCAACTCTATCCATGTACCGCAATGGAAGGTTTCCTATTACATTATAATCCTCGGCATACGATATTAACCGTTCCCAGTAATGTAATAGCAACATCTTCAATAAGCTACCAAGTACTTACACATAATCCTGTCTCACGGCGAGTTCATTCCGAACTTTCGACAGGGAAATAAACACCACTGAGGAGAAATTTAATTCTGACGGACTCATTGATAGAAGTTTCGGGTGGCAGTTGGATGCAACGCCTAGAATGAAATGCCGAGTGAAGTATAAGTCAGGGCTGGACGCTTGAATAACATGAGAATTACATAAACATACAGGGTAAGCGGATTGGGGAAAATGAATGGATGTCAAATAATGATAAGCTTTGAATCATATTGAACGTATGCATGAACGACAATATGAATATCACAAAACTGCACTCACTCCAAGTACAGGGTGACGAGGACTCGCCTTACAAGGTGACCTGACCGGATGAGCCATGATGTGACACTTGTCGATCCAGTAATGGACCCGAATCTGCATTTGACATACACTGTGCAACTCAATATTTGAAAAGCGACATCAGTTAATCACATGGAATGAATGAGGGAGAAACGCCAGTTCATTCATACATCAAGCAGACGCCATGCCCATTACATGGACCAGGCACATTTCACTAAAGGTATCTTCAAATACAGACAGCGGCATGCTTCAAACGATGTCTTTTTTTGGTCTCATTGCCTATGGACATCAAAATGCAAGCCCTTGCCATGCAGAGTTTCCCATCCGGACGCAATACCCCAGGTAAATAGAAGCCAGCACCACCAATCCCGCAATATCTTTTATTTTAGATCGTAGTCTCGTAGGGAAGAGGAGTGACGGTCTGAGGAGGGTTGTCGGCGAGCGACAGTGTGTGAGCCTCACGGGGTCCAACGGGCTGACGCTTGACCTGGACGACGGTGCCGTTGGCCTTGGCCTCCTTCTTGGCCTCGGCGTTGGCCTTGACTCGCTTGAGGAAGTCCTCACGAGATCGGGACTGCTGGATGTGCTCGATTCGGACGTTGATTCGCTTCTCGATGTATCGGTGCTTCACCTGCTTGTAGATGATGACACCGACAGCAGACTTGGTGACGTTGTAGATGACACCAGTCTTGCCGTGGTACACCTTGAAGGGCATACTGTGATCACGGTTAGCCCTCCTGTTCCAATGCCCAGAGGAATTCCTCCAAAAAGCGTCCAAGTCTCGCAATTTCGCGTGTATTGTCGCATGATGGCAAAGGGAGCTCTGCTTACCCCTTCTGGACGGCACCGTTCGCCTTGATGTCGACGATATCACCAACGCGGTACTGTCGGAGATAGGTGTTCAGGGCAATCATACCCTTCTTGCGGAAGTCCCGGCTGAAGGCATACTAAAAATTTCACATCGTCAGTCTCATGCCGACGTCGTCGAATTTTCATTCTCGCAGGAATCGGTGGTTGAACATACGCGGGTGCCCGCTCTCTTTCCGTAGGAGTGACCCATCTCGAATGTGATATGCCGGTACCGGTCGGGTTGGGGTTAGTAGTCGTGGTTGGCGAAAGAGATGGTGAAGTCCTTCGCTTTGGTGTTGTGGATTTCTCGTCTCGAAGGCGGCCTTGTGGGAGCGGGTCCTCAGATTTTCCGAAAGTTTTCCAGGTAGGGCAAGGGCGATTGTGGGTTGCACCTTCCAAAAATCCAAAACCTTAGGGTTCAACTTAAGCACGTGACACGACCGAGCTCCGCCAAATTTCTGTCCGCACATTTTGCTACGATTCGTGTCTTGTGAGAAAGTTCAACTCCCGCAGAACACCCAAGGAGCAAGTCAAGTGAGTATATCACCGCCGCCACGAGTGCATCGCCAGAGGATATCCATTAACAAAGTCTTCAGGATGCCTCCCCGCGCCCACTCCAAGACCTCTCGTGTCCCCCGCCGACCCTTCGAGTCTGCCCGACTGTCAGTATCACCGGCCACTGAACATGAGCTTGCCTCTGTTTAAGTCGTATGTGAATGAAGACTGACCGAATAACAATAGTGACTCCGAGTTGAAGCTCGTTGGCGAGTATGGCCTGCGCAACAAGCGTGAGGTCTGGCGAGTCGGTCTGACTCTGTCCAAGATCCGTCGTGCTGCCCGGTATGTGAACCTTTGCACTCTTTGTGTGCGCTGATGAGGAAGAGTTTTCTAACCACTTCCACAGTCAGCTTCTTACCCTCGACGAGAAGGACCCCAAGCGTCTCTTCGAAGGCAATGCCCTCATTCGACGTCTCGTCCGTGTCGGTGTCCTTGACGAGTCCCGCATGAAGCTCGATTACGTCCTGGCTCTTAAGATCGAGGATTTCCTTGAGCGCCGCCTCCAGACCTGTGTCTGGAAGCTCGGTCTTGCCAAGTCTATCCACCACGCCCGTGTTCTGATCCGCCAGCGTCACATCCGAGTCGGAAAGCAGATCGTCAACGTCCCCTCTTTCATCGTCCGTCTCGACTCCCAGAAGCACATTGACTTCGCTCTTACCTCGCCCTTCGGTGGTGGCCGTCCCGGCCGTGTCCGCAGAAAGAAGGCCGCCGCCGCCGCCGGCGGTGAGGGTGGTGAGGACGAGGAGGACGAGGAGTAAATGCAACCAAAAATGCAAAAACGATCCCCCCTGTCTAGGGCACTTGGTGATGGAATACCACTCATGGGAAGGGGATTCTCTTCATAGCTTGCGGCGTTGGCCAGAGGATAAAAATGGAATGATTTCACCGGATAACGACAAACAAAAATTTCCCGGTGTCTCTCCACCTGTGTACATGAATCTCATGAAACATGAATCCAATCACGACACCCACCCATAATCTTTATTTCACCGTGCATGTTTCAATTTCAATGTAGCTGTCGCCCTGTAACTGATGCTCATGGTATGTGACAGTATTGTAATTGTGTATAGTAATGCATCGCTATGATAAAAGTTCATCCTTGCCCAGCAGCTTTGCCATTGGATCGTTCGTCACCGTTCGTTTCCTCCTATACTCGTCCATTTCCTCATCTGTCACGCCATTCATCATTTCTTCTCTTGTCCGCTTGCGCGGCTGCTCTTCCTCCTTGTTCTCTGCCTCCTCCTTTGAAGGCTCTTCTGTCTCCTCTTCATCGTCATTGACCAGGTTCGCTCCAGTCCGTTGACGCTCAGCCGCCTCCCATGCCAATTTTCCGTCGTCACCAGTACAGTAACTGTTTTTGATGAACGAATGACAGCAAGCGTAGCCCCATTTGAAATTGGACCACCAGCTTCCCCATACTGAAGTATGATTGTTGATGAGAACATCTTCAGCGTACTTGGATTTGGCCACCTTCTTGGGCGCACCCTTGATCAGACCAGCCTCATCGTACTCAACAAAAGTCTCGGATTCGGTGATAGCCATGTTGCGCAAAGCAGCCGGCATAGCCTTCTGATCTCCACCGTACTTCTCGAGCAGCAACTTCTCTCGTTCCGCACGCTTTGCCTCTGCCTCCTCCAGCTCCTTCTTCCGATAAAACTCTCCTGCTGTGGGGTTTGCTTGCAGATGCTGGCTTGTGTTACCAGACTTTTCTTGAGCCTCCCAAGCATATCGCTGAGCATTCTCGAATGCGCCAGCATCGCCCGAGGATCGCATGAAACCTTCTTCCGCGAATGCATCTGCTGCCTTGTCTGCCGTTGCACCTGCATCGACCAGTGATCGTGTTTTCGGATCGTACTTGGCAGATTCTAGATCGAGGTTCAAAAGATACTTGGCCGTGTCCTCTCGTATTCGCAGTTGTCGTGTTGCTGTGCTCTGATGTTTGCTCATATCATTCTCTTCCGCGTACTTGTCGCCTTCTTCTGTCTCTTCATCGGCATTTCCGTCCTTGGTGGCCTGCTTGCGTAGCTCCTCCATCTGGTTGAACTCATCGACCACACTGCGATACTCCTTCGCATCATATCCATTCCATCGGTCGCGCTTGGCGTCCCATCCCATGTTGACATCTTGGATCACCTCATCGGCCTGAATGTCTTTGCCTGTCCATTTTGCGCCCTTGGCTCGTGGTCGGCTCAGGCAGTCTTTCTTCTTGTGTGTCATGGCGCCGCAGTTTTCGCAAGCACCTTTGCGATACTTGGTGGCCGCTGGGCCGGCCTTTCTCCCTCGATCGTACCATTGTGATTTGTCGTTCTTCTCTTCGCGACGCTGATGCTGAAGGTAGTCATTCTCATCGCCCTCTTCGCCGGCATAGAACGGGCGTTTACTGATAAAAGATGGAATGTAGATGTTCTCTTCCTTCAAAGCGGCACCAGCGCCTCCAGGGCCGGTATTTGGGGGCGGTGGTTTGGCGGGTGCAGTAGGCATGGCGACAATGTAAAGCTCTGCCGTCTGTTGAAACGTGCAGCTTTCACACAACGAGATTAAAAAATCAGAACCAAAGGTTTAGAAGTCAAAACGGGTGATGCCTCCGTCGCTGATCACTGAGCCCAGAGCGGAAAGTTGTTTCGATAAGCAGCCTTATCAGCACGTGATCGCGCGTGTCAGCAAGAGGCTGGTAGCCATGGCAAAACGCGTCTCATAAGTAGTCGAGGTTACACAAAGACCTTCAGAATGAATTGAGCTTATTGAGAACACTTTTTTGAGCAACGCTTGGCTCTTTCGTTCTTAATAAACTGCCTTAAGCCCCTGATGGATCCAAACTCCAGAGAATATGGACTTGTTCCGGGTCAGACTAAATTGTATCGATCACTATCAAGCGACACCTTCGCGATATGACCCCCAGCTTCGCAACGACATCCGTCCCTCTCAGATATCCAAGGGACCCAGAGTCCCTGTTGTTCGCGTGTTTGGATCTACTGAAACGGGACAAAAAGTATGCGCTCATATCCACGGCGCATTCCCGTACTTGTACGTGGAATATGAAGGTGGCTTAAGTCCTGATGAAGGTTCGTCGTCTATACTCCAGTAAATATCTATCCATACTAAACATTCTAGTCGGTGCTTATATATATCGATTTCATTTGTCCATAGATCATGCGTTAGCAGTCAGCTATCGACGAGATCAGAAAGGTGACAGTGCGAGGTTCGTGGCAAGGATTACTCTTGTCAAGGGTGTCCCCTTCTATGGCTTTCACGTGGGATATCGCTTCTTCCTGAAGATTTATATGTTCAATCCCATTGTCATGACAAGACTGGCGGATCTTCTTCAGCAAGGCGTGATTATGAAGAACAAGTTTCAGCCATACGAAGCACACCTTCAGTACCTTCTTCAGTTTATGACAGACTTCAACTTATACGGCTGCGATTACCTTGATGCATCTGTTACTAGGTTTCGATCTCCAGTCCCAGAATATGAACAGGGGTCGAATTCATCGCACAAATGGCATAGTCGATCAATCTCTCTGAATCACATTACCGACGAAACCACGCTCCCTCGAAGTAGCCACTGCTCAATAGAAGTGGATATATGCGTACAGGACATTATCAACCGGCACAAGGTCAAGGAAAGGCCTCTTCATCATGACTTTACGGAAAGAACCAATCCCCTCCCCGGAGACATGAAGCTGGTCTACAGCATGGCTGGACTGTGGAAAGATGAGACGAAGAGACGCAAACGAAAGATGCAAGATCCGACCGAGGGCAGCAGTCCATTCCCACCAGAAGTTCTTGTGTCGATGTCAGCCAACGCTCGTGACTCCCAGCCTCAAGGCTGGCTTCATGAGGAAGAATTCAGGACTGAGATCCGAAATCTCATCTCTGAAGAGAAACTGAGTGGCGACTCGGAAGAGCTTACTTTTGAGAAGTTTGCAAAGCCGCATCCATACGAAGAGCATGTTAATACTACTTTGGAGTCAGTCGAAGACCTCTTCCCATCGAAACTTGCACCAGCTTTAGGGTTGCCCTTAGGTGTGGAGATGGAACAAGATCTGCGAAGCAGTATTGTCGTCGATGAAGGTAAAGTGCGTCAGGCTGGGGAGGCACACAATGACTTCTATCCTGAGGACTCCGATGAAGATGCTATTGCGGCGCTCGTAGCAATAGAGAAGGCTGCCGCAAAGGTTTCCCGCGGGCCAGCAGAACTACCAGAAGAGGATCTTGAGCTGGCAGCGGCTCTCAACATCAGTCCCGACAAATTTGATAAAAAGACATTTTGGAGGTCGGCCCTTGGGGTCTGTCAATGTGGCCTGGTGACTGGCGAGCTTCCTGACCTCCCAGTAAGCCAAGAGCTGCTTGATTATGCAGAGAACGAAGGTTTTATCGGGCGGACAGAGAAAGCACCGACTCTCACCTCGTCCAACATGGCCCAGCTGAAGCGACCCCTGGACAACCTTCCATCATCTCAGTCGCCGAACAAAAGGACCAGGCTCAATCAATTGTCGATGATAGATGAAGATGAAATGGACTTGGTTCCCGTTCCTTCAACAGGTACCAACAAAGTTCTCGCCTCCTCCTTTAGAGGGGCTTCCATTCTCAAAGGTCTTTCATCGCTTAACAAAAACACCGATTCTGTGTTGAAAGGTGCTCCCGGCTCCAACCAAAAGCTAAATTTTCCTACCGTCAAAGATCAGAATGACCCGAACACCAAGCTTCGTCTCAGTCAGATGAGCCAGAAGTCTGCTTCTCAGCAGACCGATGATGGTCGTCACAATAAGCACGTTTCGTTTGATCCCAGCAGTTTCCTCCCTGCTGAAGCAGAGTTGTCTCAAATGACTTTGTCATCTTCCATGAAATCATCTGGAGGACGAGACGATGAAAGTCATGAATCGAAAATCCAGAGAGCCATGAGCCGATTCGCCAGCCCACAAGTACACTTGGTTTCTTCTCTACCCCCTTCTGCAGCTGCTGTGGCTTCCTCTTTGAAAGAATACGGGCTTCCTGATGTGATCTATCAAGATGCTTATTACAGCAGGGAAAAGGATGTTCCTGGGCGGATGCGAGAATATGCTGGGAAGGAGTTTCGACTGGAGGGTAACACACTGCCTTTTCTGCCTGAATTTGACCCAACAGGGACAGCTCCAGCCAGCTACGGGCTCAAATTTGAGACCTTTGACAAGACTGCTGTAGAACTCAGGTATGAGCGACAGAGGAAGACGTGCTCGTTGAGGAGCTGGGAGCTTACAAGTCCCCCGCCCACATATCAAGAAGTCGAGGAGTGGTGGGCAGAAAAACAACGTAGAGCAAATCCAACGGAAGGGTCCATAATACCATCTACTCCCAGGCAATATCAATCTCAGATCGATGGACCCACGCCAAAGAACAAGCACGGATTCAAGTACACCCCAGGCAAGAAATCAACCAGCGTCCAGCATGAGGTACAATACATGAGCACCATGAGCTTAGAGGTTCACGTAAATACCAGAGGGAAGCTCGTGCCGAATCCTGAGGAAGACGAAGTCCAGTGCGTGTTCTGGGCGATCAAGTCTGATGGAACTGCTTCCGGCAGTCAAGATTCAGCTGGTGTCCAAACAGGTATCCTGCTATTGTCAAATGACGCCGAATTTACTCAGCGCATTCAGCGACAGACAAATGCCGAGGTCATTGAAGAAAATTCGGAACTGGATATTATGGTTCGAATGGTCGAAATCGTAAGAAACCATGATCCTGACATTCTTACCGGTTACGAAGTGCATGGCAGTTCCTGGGGTTACTTGATCGAGAGAGCACGACTGAAGTATGACTACAACCTTTGTGATGAGTTTTCTCGCATGAAGACCGAGTCACACGGCAGGTTTGGCAAAGAGAACGACCGTTGGGGTTTCAATACCACATCCACTATTCGGGTTACTGGTCGACATATGGTGAACGTCTGGAGGGCAATGCGAGGAGAACTCAACCTTCTTCAATACACCATGGAGAACGTAGTCTGGCACCTACTTCATCGGAGGATACCCCATTACTCTTGGCAGTCGTTGACCAATTGGTACAAGGGCGGCAAGCATAGAGAGCTTAACAGGATGTTGAGATACTACCAGAATCGCACAAAGATCGATCTTGAGATTCTGGACGCCAATGAACTGATATCGAGAACCAGCGAGCAGGCACGACTTTTAGGTGTGGACTTCTTCTCAGTCTTCTCGCGGGGATCGCAGTTCAAGGTAGAGTCAATCATGTTCAGGATTGCCAAACCAGAGAATTTCCTACTTGTTTCACCAAATCGCAAGCAAGTCGGTGGTCAGAATGCTCTAGAGTGTCTACCACTTGTCATGGAGCCACAAAGCGCTTTCTATAATAGTCCTCTCCTGGTTCTTGACTTTCAGAGTCTATACCCGAGTGTCATGATCGCTTACAACTACTGCTATTCAACCTTCTTGGGACGAGTCACCGACTGGAGGGGTATGAACAAGATGGGGTTTACTGAGTATAAGCGGCAGAAAGGTCTTCTTGCCCTTCTGGAGGACTACATCAACATTGCCCCAAATGGTATGATGTATGCAAAGACGGAAATCCGCAAGTCACTTCTAGCCAAGATGCTGACTGAGATTCTGGAAACTCGAGTCATGGTAAAAAGTGGCATGAAGCAAGACAAGGATGATAAAACGCTGCAACAGCTTCTAAACAACAGACAGCTTGCTCTCAAACTGCTCGCCAACGTCACTTATGGTTACACTTCAGCTTCATTCTCCGGCCGTATGCCATGCTCCGAGATTGCGGACAGCATTGTGCAAACCGGCAGAGAAACTCTTGAACGAGCGATTGCTTATATCCACTCTGTTGAGAAATGGGGCGCTGAAGTCGTCTATGGCGACACTGACAGTCTGTTTATCTATCTGAAGGGCCGAACAAAAGATGAGGCTTTCGATATTGGTAATGAGATTTCCAAGGCAATTACCGAAATGAACCCTCGACCCATCAAACTCAAATTTGAAAAAGTATATCATCCCTGCGTTCTCCTCGCCAAGAAACGTTATGTCGGTTACAAATACGAGAGCAAAGATCAGGTGAAGCCCGAGTTCGATGCCAAGGGAATCGAGACTGTCCGTCGTGACGGTACACCAGCGGAGCAAAAGATCGAAGAAAAGGCCCTTCGTCTACTGTTCGAAACTGCAGATCTCACTCAGGTCAAGGATTACTTCCAAAAGCAATGTCAGAAGATCATGCGCAACAATGTTTCGGTGCAAGATTTTTGCTTTGCCAAAGAGGTGCGCCTAGGTACATACTCGGACAAAGGTACAGCACCTGCAGGAGCTCTCATCAGTACCAAGCGTATGCTTCAGGATGCTCGCGCAGAACCGCAGTATGGTGAGAGAGTTCCGTACGTTGTTATCACTGGTGCCCCAGGAGCGCGACTCATTGACCGATGCGTTGCGCCTGAGGAACTTCTGAGTAACCCCCACTGGCAGCTCGATGCCGAATACTATATCTCG